CGCCCTCGCCGGATCTAGAGAGGACTGGAACCCCGCCGGCTCGGGCGAGGACTGAAAAAGGTCGGCAAGGGCCACGACGCCCTCGCCGATCACCGGTCATAGGCCAAGAAAGAAGAAGAACTGGCCATAGCTAGGAAGGAAAGAAAAAAAAAATCCTCTTCTATTTCTAATTCTTGTTCCCAGAATCAAGAAGCAACTTTTTTTTGCTTCTTAATTTAGTTCCAAAACTGATTCTGAAAACAAATTTGTGACCGGTAACAAAAAATTACCAAACGGATTTCCGCTCTTTTTTTGTTTTCGAAAACAAAATAATAAAATCAGTCACTATTTAGCAAGTTACCAAACGCACCCATAAGCTTCCACAGTAATCTCAAAACAGAAGAGGAAGTCAATTCTCAATGAGAAGAAAATATAATAAATGCAAAGAGTACGACAGTACACCCCTTCTCAATCCCGTCCAAGAGGTCATTACATCTACCAAAATAGACTGGATTCAATGGGAGGCTGCATATCACGAATGGAAAAGAGACATCCCATGATTTGTCCAACTTTCTTTTAATTTTATAAAAAAGAAAATATATTCTGGTTTATGGTTCATATCATCTATATGACTGAAATAGAAGAATTTACAGATTGATTGGATTTGTCGATCTCTCTATAAATACATAACAAGGGATGGCAGGCACGAAAGACAACTTTCCTGTGAGCGCAGCCATTACAATTACAGGTAGAAGAAAAAGAAACAAGAATAAAAAATGCAGTTAAAGATGTTAATCTTATTTCCCTGAACTAGTGTTGCCCAAAGCAATTCACAAGTTCGAAACTTCAGAGTAATTGCAAAATAACCACATGAACCTTCTTTAAACAAGAAAGGTCATAAATTACCTCTAGCATGTTCTTTTCCCCGGGCCTCAGATTTAAAAAGCAGAGGTGTTTAATCCGTAAGACTACATTAGGTAATTAGCTGTTCTTTATACCACTCTCCAGTGGAACATGCCAACTTAGACGTGACAGAAGTTAGAACAGGATAATGTAACAGGAGATGACACCCTGTTGTTCGAAGGTTTAAGCACTGCCGGATCAACCACATTTACCATCTCAGCGTCATTATTTGAATCCAAACAGCAGAAGGCATTTTTCATACATGTCTCACCCTGGTTAGTGCTTGCCTATATGGATAACCTCCATAACCGGCTGTCAAACAGGTATAGCATGGGGAAAACAACCGCATAGATGGATTTCCGATAACCGAATGTATCGGCACCAAGGGTTCAGCAATTTCATCCTCAGATCCCCCCAGCTAAACCAGAATGGAACGGGAAAGGATTCAGTAACCGATGAACAGACGAACCCTCTAATCTTGAAGTAGAAGGATTTAACATAGTTAATTCGAGTAGAATCAATCGGTTCCAGGACGGAGAACATGCATTCGCAGGAATCGAAGTGAAAAACACGAAGAGCGAAGCTCCCGACAAACACAAAAACAATGGCAGCCGCTGTTCCTCTGGACTCGTCGGAATCCAAACACTACAAACGAGGAAACACAGTAAAGTTCAAGCGAGAGAGAGGGAGAGAGATTGTACGAGTTTTCTTCTTCCGAGTCTCTTTCCAATTTGTTTTCAAGCGGCTGATGGTGTTGGAGCACGACCCTCGTATCATCCTCCTGCTGCTCGCATATTAGACGGAATCCGCACTTTTTTATGCTTGCTTCCGATGGTCTGAGGCAAACTTGGAATTGGCTCCATTCGTCTCGCAGATGCTTCTCCACTTCATACAGCTGAGGGCGTGGGAAATATATAAGCCACACATTATCGGATTCCAACGAATAAAAGTCATTCGATTGCCAAATCACCCTTCGGCCATTAACAAATATTTGGATCTCGCATGACGCATCGCCCACTTTTGCTTCCTCGACGCTAAGAACAACGCAGAGCGCTAGTATACAAGTTCTCGGGCCCGCGACACACTTGCCTTAGAACCGGCGAGGGCCACCCAGCCCTCGCCTAGCCAGATCTGGCGAGGGTGTCGCGGCCCTCGCCAGATCTGGGCGAGGGCTAGCACGCCCTCGCTTTGGCCGATGAGGCCGTCACAGCCCTCATCTAGAGCCGGTGAAGGTCGCCGGCCCTCGCCTATGGCCGGCGAGGGTCGATCGGCCACCCTCCCTGGCTAACTCTAAAATCGAAAAAAAAAAAACGGAGAAAAGGAAAAAAAAAAATCATAAAAATTTCAAAATATTATTTAAAAATGTTCATGTCAGGGCCTCGTGGCCGGCCGACATCCACGTCAGCGATTTCCAGCTAAAATTGGCCTGATAGACTGAATTGACAAAAAGTGTAAAGTTTTAGGACTCAATTGGCAAGATATGTTAAGGTTTAGAACTTAATAGACAAACTTAAAAGATTTAGGACTAAATTGATAAAAATGCAATAGATTTAGGACTTTTTTGGTAATTTTCGCGTCAGAAATAATGTTATGGGTTGACGTGGACATTTTCATCTTCTAAATAAAAGGCACCAGGACTTGAATAAATGTACAACTCATCTGCTTAGGCTAGGGCCACTAGGCATATGAGAATAAATACCGTTCAGATCCAATTTTTAAATACTCTATGATATTCAAAATAAAACCCATTTTCGGTAGATTTGTATATAGGTTTGGTCGGGATAGGTTGAATATGAGCCAATTAGGATGAAAGAATGAACATGGATCAATCCGGTCCAAACCAATATATGATCGATTGACCCGACCTGATCCGACCCATTTGTCCCCACCCATTGGAAAGGCACAATATCAACAGCGGCAAGTCATTTTCCGGCAAGATCTTCGCCCTAATCCAACCCCCTAATGGAGGAACTATGGGCTTACCTTTGATCCGATTGTGAGAAAAATTGGAGACTAAGCATGGCTAATTGGCCTTTCCTCGCCTAGTCGCAGATGTGGCCTCACCAACACAATACCGGTCCTCAATCACCTCTATCACCAGAAAAATTCACCTGATCATATTCTGCATATAGAGCCCTCCCTCTCCCCTTTTGCGGGAAAAGTGTTGAAAAAGTCCTAAACCTTTTGAGATGATGCCAATTTAGTCCTAAACTTCTTTTTGATGCCAATTGAGTCATAAACCTTTTGTTTTTAGTGCCAATTCAGTCCTTCCAGCTAACTTTAGCCGGATTTTGCTGACGTAAACTCCGGCTGGCTAGCGGCCGATCACCGGAACTGTCGTGGACAAATTTTAATAATATTTTAATATTTTTTTTGCATTCTTTTTCTTTTTTCTTTTCTTTTTTTCCTTCTCCTCTTCCTCCAGCCGGTCGCCGGAGCGGCGACCGGTCAGAGGCACGATTCCGGCGAGGTCGACCTCGCCCAATCATCGGCGAGGCTCGACCTTGCCAGATCCGGCGAGGCTCGACCTCGCCGACGGCTGGGCGAGACACGACCTCACCAAATCTGGCGAGGTCCCGCCTCGCCAGTGGTCGGCGATGCTCGCCCGAGGCCGGCGAGGTCGACCTTGCCGGCCTCGGGGCTCTGACCAGTTGGCCCTCCGACGATAAAAGAAAAAAAAGAAAAAGATATATTAAAATATTATTAAAATTGTCCACGTCAGCTCCAGTGACCGGCTGGCCGGCGTTCACGTCAGCAAAATCCGGCCAAAGTTAGCCGGAAGGACTGAATTAGCATCAAAACAAAAGGTTTAGGACTTAATTGGTACTAAAAAAAGGTTTAGGACTTCTGCAACACTCCCCCCCCCCCCCCCCACCCCCCCTTTGCCATTGATGTGTGGCGGTAGGATCTGGACTGGGGGCAACCTCTTTTCCTCCTCCTGGTCCGAATCCGGAACAGAAAGCTAATCCTAGTAACTTGTCATTCAAGCAATGTTTAGCCATGAAACTTTGGAGTTCCTCTCAACAGGGAGCAACTCAAAACTGTAGCTGAAACTTGAGAATCAACACGGACATGGTCAGGCACTTCGCAGCGAAGACTGTGAGTAATGTGTCCAATTAATGTTAACTGGGAGGGAACGGGGCTTTGTTATAATGCCGTTCAATGGTAAAATTCCATTCTATCTACTCTTTTTTTTTCCTTTTGCCTTGTGGCGATCCTCTTGACGTGAAAGTTGAGAGAGCTAATGGATTGCTAGGCGGGCGCAAATAGTCCTCATGTGAGGCAGCACTCACACTTCGCATGGATTCTTCCAAGCCCTAGCGACAACAACTTAGATTTTCGTCTATTATCAATTGAACAGGACCAGAATTGCCACTAACCTTTAACCAAGCCAGTTTGAAGCCTAGGAGAGCGTGAGAGCTCAATTAACCTCTACGGTCCAGACCATTGGACACGGGCACTTAAATACGTTATGGTGAACAAACTACCATAAATTGCTACCTTTTTCTTTTCGTAAAAGCTAATTTCATGCAATCTTTTTCGATTTTTATTCCTAAACATGCAAATCCGTAAGGCCAGGCTTAAGTGCGCAAACAATAAAAATCACTTCGTAATAATAAACATATAGTTAAAGCAAATGTGCACAAACTTGATCCATATTGGACAATATTAATATAAAGCCTTGATTTTCCACTCCAGGACCAATCTATGTGTCCTGCAACATTAATACAATCCCTTTTTTCATGAGCCGTACGATTTATTGATCTAAATCAAGCCCTCGGATGAGTCCTCCAGGGCAAAAAATTTAGGTATCAACATCCCTCTATAAATTTTGTCGATGGCACAAAAACCAGTGAGCGACCTGCTACAAGCTCAAACATTAGGGTTCAAAGAAGCCACCAGTTGTGACACAAGGCTTTGTACCCATCCAATGCAATCAGCCTAGCAACAGTAGAGACATCAACTAATCTTCCCTGTATAGAACTTTTGACCTTTGAGACAATTAGATCAACACTACTATCTCAAAGTATGAAGCATTGGCATCATTAATTGGATTAAGACAGGTAACAGAGGTCTATATGATAAATTTCACAGAGCAACTTGGGAGACCATGGCCATTCAACAAGAATCCACATAACTTTGGATTAATGCACTCTGCATCACAAATCATAAAGAAGGAGAGGAAAAAGTTCCTCAACCATATCAGTAGCATGATGTGAAACCTGATAGTGGTTTCGAATTCTACTTGAAGGTGCACACGTTAGAAAACTTCTAGTAGAGACCGAAAAAGGGGACAAGATAAAGGCATTGAAATCGAAATGACCCAGTTCACTTCCTCAGCAACCCACGAACCAATTCAACGGGCATGCTTCGCAAGCCAACCCTCATAATAGATTGGCACGAGTGCAACCCATAGTCCCGCCATGGTTAAGACAATCTTCTCTTCTTTTTTCAAGTTGATTTGCTTTGCCCTGCATCTGTTTCACTTGGACTATCTTCTTCTGTGGTGTCTATTGAGTTATCTTCTTCTGAGCAGTACCTGCATTTATCCATGAAAGGTGTTACAGATCCATGTCTGACTACTATGTCCATTAGCTGCATTGAACATGAAAAGAAGAAGACAATCCAGCAAAAGCATCGAGCTAAACCCAATCAGTTGGATGAATAAGCAAGCAGTTACTTGAATCTATCAAATGAGAACAATTAAACTATGACATCCGGAGTTTCTCCCAAGAGGTCATCACATCTACCACAATACACTGGATTCAGTGGGAGGCTGCATATCACAAATGGAAAAGAGACATCCCATGATTTGTCCGACTTCCTTTTAATTTTACAAAAAAGAAAATATATTCTAGTTTATGGTTCATATCATCTATATGACTGAAATAGAAGAATTTACAGATTGATTGGATTTGTCAATCTATCTATAAATACATAACATGGGATAGCAGGCACGAAAGACAACTTTCCTGTGAGCACAGCCATTACAACAACAGGTAGAAGAAAAAGAAACACGAATAAGAAATGCAGTTAAAGATGTTAATCTTATTTCCCTGAACTAGTGTCGCCCAAAGCAATCCACAAGTTCGAAATTTCAGAGTGATTGCAAAATAACTACATGAACCTTCTTTAAACAAGAAAGGTCATAAACTACCTCTAGGATATTCTTTTCCCTGGGCCTTAGATTTAAAAAGCAGAGGGACCAATTTCATGTTTAATCTGTAAGACTACATTAGGTAATTAGCTGTTCTTTATACCACTCTCCAGTGGAACATGCCAACTTAGACGTGACAGAAGTTAGAACAGGATAATGTAACAGGAGATGACACCCTGTTGTTCGAAGGTTTAAGTACTGATGGATCAACCACATTTACCATCTCAGCGTCGTGACTTGAATCCAAACAGCAGAAAGCATTTTTCATACATGTCTCACCCTGATTAGTGCTTGCCTAGTTCTAACAGGTTGAGAAATATGTGTAGATTTAGGTCGCCAAACAGCATTCCAAGCCTTGTGAATTATTTAATCAATGTCAAATTTTCTTCTTTCTACAAACGTCAACATCATGCCCAATCTCATTTCATCTCTTACAAGTGATAGGCTTCCATAAATACTCAGGTTTAACTCAAAGGAAGTGCCCTCCTCAAGAACAACAGGAACTGAATCAACCAACAGGGAAACAAGAGGAACCTCTACACATATTCTAACAAAATCCCATGTCTACATCATTTGTGTGTTTTCATCCACTTACAAAGTAATACTTATTGCACTGCCAGTATAGCTTAGAGCTTCATTTGTCGTTAGTTGCAATCTGTAAACCCAAAGTTTAATGCAAACTGGAACAGAACTCATCTTCTCACATTAAAGATCGAACGGCCATCAACGAAGAACTAAGGTTTGGTGATTAATGTGCCAGGGACCACCAGCCTAAACCCAATCACAAGTACTAGCATCAGGGAATTTAAAGATAAACAAGTCATTATTCCATCTATGCCCATCAATCGAACCATTTGTTCCCCGTAACATAATTGCAGTAGCTCGAATATGACTATCAAACAAACAGTTGTACCGAAGAGCCTAACCATCAACCACAATTTGCCCAGAAACTTTAACAGTAACAAACAACATTAATTGATAAGTACAGGCTCATGGTTACACAATTGAGGAGAGGATGAACTAGAAACATCAGACAGCAGTCCATTCATCAGGGTCGACTAATCAAGAATCCCCAGAATACCAACATCATCCATCCAGACATTCTCCCAAAGTTCTAACCTCCATAACCGGCTGTGAAGCAGGTATAGCATGGGGAAAACAACCGCATAGAAGGATTTCCGATAACCGAACGTATCGGCACCGAGGGTTCAGCAATTTCATCCTCAGATCCCTCCAGCTAAACCAGAATGGAACGGGAAAGGATTCAGTAACCGATGGACAGACGAACCCTCTAATCTCGAAGTAGAAGGACTCAACAGAGTTAATTCGAGTAGAATCAATCGATTCCAGGACGGAGAACATGCATTCGCAGTGATCGAAGTGGAAAACACGAAGAGCGAACCTCCGGACAAGCAAAAAAACAATGGCAGCCGTTGTTCCTCTGGACTCGTCGGAATCCAAACACTACAAACGAGGAAACACAGTAAAGTTAAAGCGAGAGAGAGGGAGAGAGATTGTACGAGTTGTCTTCTTCCGAGCCTCTTTCCAATTTGTTTTCAATCGGCTGATGGTGTTGGAGCACGACCCTCATATCATCCTCCTGCTGCTCGCATATTAGACGGAATCCCCACTTTTTTATGCTTGCTCCCCATGGTCTGAGGCAAACTTGGAATAGGCTCTCTTCGTTTCGCAGATGCTTCTCCACTTCAAACAGCTGAGGGCGTGGGAAATATATAAGCCACACATTATCGGATTCCAACGAATAAAAGACATTCTCTTCTAGCGAAATCACCCTTCGGCCATTAACAAATATTTGGATGTTGCATGACGCATAGACCATTTTTCCTTCCTCCAGGCCAAGAACAACGCAGAGCGCTAGTCCCAAGAACTTGTCATACAAGTCTCGGGGAACCATGAAAGATATGGAATCCTCTTTACAGTAGAGAAACCACTCTGGCATTTCTCCTCCAATCAGGCGAACGTCGACACCCCCCATCTTCGGGAGTCCCTGTCATACAGATGGTACGCATATCAAGTGTTTGCGCGCGAGTGCGAGAGAGAGAGAGAGAGAGTCTGACCTCGAGTAATGGCACATCACCCATCTTGACCCCTCTGCGGAATAATTCACAGCATGACGACAAGTCAACTTTAAGGTAGTCGGAGGAGAGCCTCGACAAATTGGGGAGTTTCTGCAGAGATTTGCAACCATTTGCTCTTAGGATATGCATATTTGATGGAAGCTGAGGAATCTCTTGTAGTTGCGGGCATCGCTCCACATCCAACCGTTTCAAATTATCGTATTTGTTGATGCATGTTGGTAGATGAGTAAACTTGTTTTCTGAAAGATATAGGTATTTCAATTTGGGAAAACTCTCAAGGAAGTCTACTTCCGATAGATTGCAGCCAGTAATGTCTAAACTGTATAGATTTGGGAATCTTAAATGGTCATCGGGGTTAGTTGAATCCTCCAAGTTCTTTGGAAACATGACTAAATTCAAGCATCGTTGAAGACTCAGAACCTCGAGATTGTGCAACTTATAAATGTTCAATGGAAGCCTTGTAAGGTTGTCGCATCGAAATAAATGCATCCGTTTCAAAGAGACAAGATTTTCAATTGATGCAGGGAGCTCTTTAATAGCCGTCCATCCCAGATGAAATTCTTCTACATGTTCCATCTTTCCCAAAATATCAGGGAACTTCTCGAGTTTAGAGCAACCAGAGAGACTAAGGTGTCGAAGAGATTTTGTCTTGAGTTTGCTGGGAAAGATACTAAGATTAGAGCACGATGTTAGTGACAATAACCTTAACTTGTCAAGGTATCCGACGGATTGGTGAACCTCCACCAAGCTTTCGCAGTAATCGAGATTCAAGCTCTCCAGATTTGGAGCCATTGAAAGGTCAGGAACACTAGCAAGGGACTCGCATCGCGAGAAATTTATGGACTTCAACCTTCCAAAATTCTGCAAAAACATAACAGCGCAATCATTAAGTTCTGCAAATACTTATAGCTATAAAAGGGACAGCTAATCATCACAAGGGCTTACCATAAACTTGCCTTCCAACCGTTTGATAGGACTTCCCTGGACATCAATTGCAACAAGTTTCTTTCGGCCAGGGCCAAATTCTAGATCCGGGGCATTGGCCCATTTAAGCCATCTTAGCTCATTAGGGAGACGTACAGGACCTTGTGAAGAGATATGCACTTCATGCAAAATGAGCATTCTCAACCTTTTCGTGTTTGTGAAAGCATGAGGACTAATAGTTATCTCTTCTGGTTCGGGCGAGTCCAATACTATGGCCTTTACTGCAGTCGTTCCCTATCCATAACAGAGCAAATTCAATGGTCACAGAAAATTTCCGTTGAGATTTACATTGACGGTTCAAATTAGAGTAATATAAAAACTAAGATGTAGCAACATTGACATAAAACAACTTTTACCGTATCTTCAAATAGAATGTCTTGAACATCTTCAAAAGTCCATAATCTACTGCGTTTCCCAGGATCATCGGGACATTCCTGATTAACAATATCCTTACCCATTGACTGAACCAAATCGTGCATTTCCAGGTACCCATGCTCATATGTTATCAAGGACCTCTCCACGAGAATTTCTATTCCTATAGTTGTGTTAAAATCACAGCTGTCGAGAATTTCCTTGATATCTTCTATTCTTTTCCCCTTAAAGAAACAAGCGATATCAAGGAAAATTTCCCTCTCATTATCCCTCACCCCATCGAAGCTTGTCTTGAGAACTCCTTTGATAGTTTTGTCAGGACTTTTGGAGAGTTTACGCAATGTACTTTCCCATGCAGGTTCATTTCTTCCAAATAAGAATGAGCCCAACACTTCGAGGGCTAACGGAAGGCCGTTAGCATAACGCAGTGCTCTATCTATGAGATCCCTCCTTATTTCAACTTTCTTGCTATTTGGAAAGGCATACCGACCAAAAAGCTCTAGTGCTTCATTGTCATCTAAAGTCTTAACTTCGTACACAAAATTTATGCCATGAGAATTTAGCAAATGTTTATCTCTTGACGTAACAATAATTCTACTTCCTTTGCCAAACCAATGGCCTTCTCCAGCTAATGCATTCAGTTGATCCAACTGGTCAACATCATCAAGAACTAAGAGAACCTTTTTGCAACAAAGTCTTTCCCGTATCAAATTAATTCCTCCGTCGACACTATATACCGTTAAATGTCTATGCGATAAGATCTCAGATAGAAGTTTTTCTTGCAACGCAACAAGACCATTGCCTTTGTCCGAACTTTCTCTAACTCGTGCCAAAAAGCTAGAACCTTGGAATTGTCTCTCAATAGCATTATATAAGGCTTTCGCAATCGTTGTCTTCCCTATGCCTCCAAGTCCCCATAGACCTATCATGAGAACATCATTATCACCTGACTCTTTTTGTGACAACGATATCAGTGTTTGAACTTGAGAATCTATTCCGACTGGATACTTAGCGACATGTAAGGGTGTATGCTCTAGATGAATGGATAATTCCTTCACGATGTATTGTATGAGCTCCGCTTCATCTCTGATAAGCACCCAAAAGAAAGATAAACATGTTTTAGCATGTCCGAGTAATGGCAGGAATTCGACCTCTAACGTCACAAGGAAAATCTCACAAGAAGATTAGCTAAAAATGAGATGAAAAGAAATAACACATTTGGGTAAACCTGCGCCAACATCTGCACAAGGAAAAATTATAAAGAACCTAAGCCTAAAGACAATGACGACTCGGGTACTATGAACCGCACTTTTAATCTAAAACAAAATTTCCATTATCTAGACAGCAAGAATCGAATTCAAAGAATCTGCTAGCTTGCAGTTTTGGTTATTCGAATTTTTGTCGACTGTCTAGTATATTTCCGCTTTGTATCTTCAATCAAAAGATCAATTTGACAATATCTATCAGTTTCTAAGTGGCAGTGTATCTTTTCTATTCTTGGGTGATTGAATTAATTATATAACATATCTAATTAGCTTCTAAATTCAACGTTTAGAGGCATGAAAGATGTTGATGTCTCAAATTTTTGGCAAGAGCAAATATTTGCAAAGGTTTGTGAAAGGTTTGGGACCCCGGAGGATCAGTTGGACAATACAAGGCGTCATGGCGGAGTTGGAGGAGCCTGGTCCGGAGACCAGGCCAGACAGCCAACCACTGGCCTGGAATGGCTATTGGCCTTGCACCCGGCCAGACAAGGCCAGGCGATCGGCCTTACAGTGCTGGCGGGCGAAGGCCAGAGACGATGGCTGGAATGAGGCGATGGTGAACGCGCCATGGTGGTTTGGCTGCAGGTCTATGCAAGCTGAGAGAGGAGGTTTTGGTTGGATCTCTGGTGGGCACTGTGGGACAGATCCGGCAATCCGTCAAATGGGAACAGTACATGCGTTCAAGGTGTGGGCACAGTAAGCGCACACCCCTCAAATTCACGCATGCAACTAGTAAGGGGAGGGTAGAAAACAAGATAAAAACAAAGCATGAGATTGAGACTTTAGAAGAGATATTATAGTGTTTATCAAAAGGACAAAAATGCTTACCCCTCAAGGAAACTCCACCCAGACAAGCTGCCGGCATCAAAGAGAGCCTTCTCCCATCTCTTCACTTTCTCTGGATCCTTCCCAAACTTGGACTCATGCTTATCCATAGCTTCTCTGTAACTCTTTCTTGGTGTTCTCACTTCCCTGGGTTTCACTTTGTAAAACACGGGAAAGACCTTGAGGTCTCTTTGCTCCTTGCACTCCATAATTCTAGCCAACTCTTCCAAGCACCACGGAGAGGAAGCATAGTCCTCGGAAAAAATGATTATCGCGGCACGCGATTCCTCGATCGCCTTCATAAGCGCCGGCGATATCTGCTCTCCTTTCCTGAGCTTCTTGCTGTCCATGAAAGTGTGTATTCCTTTCTGGTCCAGAGCCGCATAAAGATGGCCGAGGAAGTTGTTGCGGACATCCGTGCCTCTGAAGCTTAGGAACACATGGTAATTTCTTTTCGGATTCGAAGAAGAAGCAGCCATCGAAAGAGCTGATGATGGTTAATGCGCTTCCGCAGGACGTTTGCTATCTGATCGGGGTTTCCAACTCTAGCTCTCATATGTGCATTTCTACGTTCTTATAGACTTTCTCCAATCACGGGGCCCAGATCAGACCCCAATTACCAGGGGTCTTTTTTACTCAGTTTAGGAGCCCCACACGGACCAACCCTTCAATTTGACATGGGGCCATTTGGTGATTGCCATCTCACTTCCCTTTCTGCTTTAATTATTTTTGTTCCTTTTTCCTCTTAATTTCCAGGAAATAACTTATAATCAATAAAAATATATTTTTTATTTATTATTTGGTTTGTCAAGACCGGTAGTCATATCGTATTTTGGGCTCTTGCATGTGAATGCATGATGATTACGTAGCGGAGCTTACATTTCTAGACTAGACGTTCATGCCATTATGCAAGATGTCTTACCTACAACATTCAGTAGTGGATACAAGTAGTCATTGAAGCTTCAAAGCTTGAGGAAATATCATTCCCGAAATAATTATTGATAGTGCTGTACATTGCATGGGTTATTGACCTTGTGTAAGTTGATCGATGAGCCTTATCACACGCATACAAAAGACAAAAAAAAAAAGTAAAGATATGGGAGTATCTGAACTGTTGCAAAATGTTTAGACAAACTAGGAGCCGCTGCCGCCGACTACGCAATCAGGTGCTACAGGAAATGACCTTGACAGGGTGGGAAGTGAGGCATGGAGAAGGAGGAAGAGGATTGGTTCAGGGAGTGATTGATGGTCGTGAGATCGAGAGAGTTCGTGGAGGCATATGTTATCTCCATGATCGCGGTCGCGATGCATTTGTTTGGAAGGAGAAATTATTAGGGCCAACCAATGGGGCTGCTCCATACATCTTCATTATTAACCTTTTTTGTTTTGCCCTTTCCCTGTTTCTCTTTCACAAGTAAAATTGGATTTTCCCAGGAAATTTCGGTGAATAGCTGGAATGGTGGTGATTCTATTGGGATGGGTTTTGTTGAGATTTGAATGCCAAGTGAATCTCAATAACGCCTGTTGAAAATATATTTCGAGTTTGAGCCCATTACACAGTACTCAATCTAAAATAAATTAGACTGGCCGACTTCGCCATTCCATGGGACTTTTTCTTCGGTCCAGCTGCACATGGTTGCATCTATGTTCAGATGCAATTGTGAAAAGAAGAAAATTGCGCATGGATTTCATTTTGCATTTATTTCTCTGCATGCGTATAAGACAATATGGAAATCCCACTACCTATACAATAATTGAAAGAGCCCAGAAATGATTATGGAGGGAGCCACAGGCTACGTTTGACTTTCATGGACTTTCTTCATCTGCTCACATGCTATAACGAATGTGGAGATTCGCTGGGCAACAAATATGATATATGAATGGGCCCTTGATTGTGTATAAAAGGGGCACAGAGGACTAGAGAATTAGAGCATCCTCAAGCAAAACGTAGGAGCTCTCGGAGTAGGGAAACTTTCTTGTTGTAATTCCATCCTGTAATGATCCAGCTAGTTAAATTCTTGTGATTAGAATTTGTGTAATTCCTTGAGTAAGTTGTCACTAGAAATTGTGATGGGTTAAATACTGAATAAGTTATTGGGTGTAATTAGGGGCTGAGAAATACCGATAGAGTGTTTGAGTGCTCAAGTGATTGTAATCTTCGTTGTATCTCTTGTTTTTATAGTGGAATTCCATACTACTCTCTCCCCATAAAAAGTAGGTTCCGATATTCAGATCGAACTATGTAAATACAGTGTCCGATTTCCTTTCTTTCCTTCCGATTATTTTATTGATTCACTTGTCTATATTCACAACAGCACCTAATATCGAAAACATTGCAGAAAAAGAAAGGACCAACTATAGCATCTTCTGGATACTAGAGTTTGTTTGTTGGATAAAAATAAGTGTTGATTCATTCGTTATTGGTAAAGTTATCACCTAAGTCGCCCCTCTCATGAAGAGAAGATTCCATATGATTTCACACTAAAAGGATATGCATGATGCCAGCACACTTGGATCGAACATCATTATCAATTGTATATAGTTTTTCTTTCATCCTCTGGCTCATGGATTACTACTGCTAATGTGAAATTATTATACATGAGTGTAACATATATATATAAGTGTTGATTCATTCGTTATTGGTAAAGTTATCACCTAAGTCGCCCCTCTCATGAAGAGAAGATTCCATATGATTTCACACTAAAAGGATATGCATGATGCCAACATACTTGGATCGAACATCATTATCAATTGTATATAGTTTTTCTTTCATCCTCTGGCTCATGGATTACTACTGCTAATGTGAAATTATTATACATGAGTGTAACATATATATACTAAACCGAAACTAAAAATAATGGATTCAATATGGATCTCGCTAATCAGATCGGACGACCCGATAGAGGCTAGTTGACGTATTAGATAACCGAAATACTTGCTCGTCATTGGTCGATGTTGCGTTCATTTATTGTCCTTGGAATTATTCATCCACGACGTGATGCTGGTACTTGTTTCTGGAATTCGCGGTTCGTCTTTATCATTTCGTACGCAATGGACTCCAACTTTTCCAGAACCTTATGATTATACATGGGCCCATTCCTCCATTATTTGGGTAGCTTTTCCACTTCTTTGTGGGAATATCGAGAATTGCGGAACAGATGACTTGCGAAAGTGAAACGCTTAAGGTTGTAATTCAACTAATGTCAAAATTCTAAATGATTCAATCTATCTATTTGATACTTCAAAAGCTCGTTGTTGAATGATAACGCTATTAAGAACCGATTCGACATTTGCTCCCTATTCATGCATGGACGTCTACAAATCGCCTGTGTCGGTGTAGCTTCACATCACTCATCAAGGAGAGAGCCGATCAAAACGCGTGAAGGACAAGGAGGACCTCGGAAGTCAATGAAAGAAAAAAGGGGGGGGCCGCATTGCTTGACTTTAGCTTATTCACGCTGTGACCCATTGCAAACAAACTCCCAAATATTATTCACATACTTGATATAGTAATTATCATTAAATGGCATTGGGCCAGTTAAGCCAGGCTCGGCGCTTGAGGACTTTAGTGCTCGTGCCCGAGTCCCCGACACATGGGCCCAAGTGCGTTGAGGCATGGCCCAAGTCCATGGAGGCTAGGCTCGTTGTCCGTGCCTGGTTCCCCGATGCCTTAGCTTAGGTCCATTGACGCCCAGCTCGTGTCTTCAGGCTCGAGCGTGGAACACTCTTGGGGTCACGAGCCCGGCCTCAATAAACTTGGGCCTAGGAATCGGGGGATTCGAGTTTGGGCACCATAGTCACGGGCCAGGCATCTCTGGACCCTAGCCTGAGCACTGGGGAACCGAGCACATGCACCGAGCTCCTAGCTCCAATACACATAGACCCGAGCCCAAACACCTAGAGTCCGAGCATGGGCATCAAGGTCTCAGGCCTATCCTCGATGGACCCAAGCCCATGAGCCGGGACCCAAGCACAGGCACCAGGATCTCGGGCTCGGCCTCCATGGGTTGTGGCCTGCCTAAATAGACGTAGGGCCGGGTGCTGGGTACTTGAGCGGGCACCAAGATTCTAGGCCTAGCCTCTATGGATCTCGGCTCGACCTTGGCCTCCATGAACCATGTCCCAAGTGCTGGGGACCAGGGGCACCCACGTGCTGGGGACTAGGGGCACCCACCGATGTCTCAAAATCAGCCTCAAGGGGCCTGGCTTGAGAGACTTGGAGTCAAGCACAGACACTAGGTCTCGAGTCGACTTCTATAGACCCAAGACTAGTGCCCAAGTCCGAGTTTATTGTTGGCAAGCTACCCCACAGAGGTTGATCTCCGGATCAGGTGCTCGTGCCCGATTCCTAGACTACCCATACCCAAGTTACTAGCACTTGGATGGTGCATGTCTCTTTAGAAAAATAAAAGTAAGTTTTCCTTATTAAACAATGACAAATATCTTCCGGTGTATTTTTAAGTTTCAGTTCTAACACTGAAAAATATTGTCATTTTCCTTTAAAATGACTTTCTTATTTTCCATAAATATCATATTTTTCGCGAAACCAACTAAGCCTAATGTTTGAATGTGAATACAGATCCAGATTTCATTTGCAACCCAAAATATTTGCGACGAAGACCTAACTACTCGATTCTATAACTGCAAAAATAATGTCTTTTCATTTTTAAAAACCTTAATCTCCTTCTCTAATTTCCTGGGCTGCACAATCCTGTTGTTTCCTGCCAAGAAATACAAATTCTTTTTCCGAACTAGTAAATTTCAGTAAATGTTGGTGAATGCAAAAAAACTGTTGATAAAAAATGACCGATGATACTTTTTATTTAGGTAATTTGTTAAAAACTTGCCAAATCCAATTACCTATTTAATTATCATTTACAAGTTAATGATTTTTGTACTAACTTATCGACTGTTATTTACATAATAAACCGGCCCTTCAAACTTAGTAACTCTTATATGAAATTACGAATCTAGATAAAGGTGATTTCCCAACTTTTGTCAAATTAATTTATGAACTGGTTTTGGAATACTAACTCTTATTTGAGTTAATTACCAATATTTAATTGATTTTTTTTTAATTTATTAACTATTTTGTTGACTTACCAAATTGTATGTCTTAGTTAGCAATCTTTATATTTACTAATGCTTTTTAGAAATTACCAACTTCATTAGTGTGGCTTACAAACTTTTCTCTCTTCGAATAACCGCCTAGTGTTGAGTTTCCAACTCTCATTTAAATTACTTAACGACATTTATCTGTTTTTTTAATTTGCCAACTTTTTTATCATTTACAAACATTTATTTGCATTTCTAAGGAACCTTTCTTAATTAACCAACTTTTTAAAGATATTACTATATGTGGCAAAATGAGCCCAAGACCCACTTTTTAACTCATATTTAGTGGACTGAATCATATGTAAGTTTATTAAAGTATGAAGGACATGAAGTTATAGATTAAAGTAGCAAAGCCTAGCTGTTTTAACGGGTCTGCAACATACTCATTTTCAACCCATACTACTTAAAATTCAGATATCCCATGCACGAATGTTGCGATGCCAAAGCGGTTCTAATTAACCCTCCTTCTCTCTCTCTCTCTCTCCATCTTGCATAGAAATGAGTGTCTCGATGAAGTCCTCGCTGGTCTCCATCACCGTCGTCTGTGTGTGTCCAGCCTCTTCTCCGACGTCGCGCCTGCAGGTTTTTCTGTTGCTTCTAAAAATGTCCCACTAAAGGGGCTCCGGTTTGGTCCCCTTTCACTCGATCGGAGGAATTCACTTGTCATTGCCGTTGCATCTTTTTGACAAGTCTCAGTTAGCTACAGAGACGAACCTTCATTGCATTTCGTTCGGTGATTGTGGAATGAGTCCGTTGAATTTAATTTTTCATAAATATTGCACCTCTTTCGTAATTCTTCTGATAATAACTTCAGTTAAAGAACTGCACGTGTTAATTAGGATTCCTTGGAATTTCTTTGCATTTCATTAGACATGGTCTTCTAGGAGAAAATATCGGGTGCTCCTTGAGCGCCGCATGAGGCTTTCTGCAAATCCACTCACCGGTTGTCATGTGTGCAGACTAGGACCAGTTTATTTTCTTTTTATTTAAGATCTAAATGTCATGTGGGATTCACTATGTACAAAGTCATATGGATTACGGGTGAGCACGGGTCCAAGGTAGAACTGGGAATCGGAGAACTTGACCCATCGGTTCCCGGTTCTAGGGAGGGAGGTTCCGATTTCCGGTTCCATTTTTTTAGGAACCACTGGTTTCGGTTTGGTTCCCGGTTCCTATAGGAACTAGAACCGGACCCGGAACCAAGAACAGAAATAGAGAACCGAGAATGAAAACGGGAACCAGGAACCCTAAATCTAAAATCTCTAATTTTCTTACTACTCCTCACTTCTCACTTCTTAGCTCTCAAATTTTCATCTCTGTCTGCATACTCATTGCTTTGCTTATCTTGTCATGTAGAACATTTCCTAAGATTTGTTTAGACCTTTGATTTATTATGGTTTTGGAGTACCCACCATTCGCATGCTCATTACTTTGCTTAACTTGTTATGTTTGGGTATTCATTGTCATGTATATACGAAGTTTTTGTTTTTTAGTGAGGTTGATTGTTTTCGTTATTCACTCTTTCAAGAAACATCTTAAGCTTGATGGTTGCATAGTTAGAATCATGGTGATAATGGATGGTGGAAGGAACAAAGAAAAAGTTATAGTTGTAGTTGCAAATAATCGATACGTGACACTTCAATTTTAAATTTAAAACTATTATTAAATTATCAACTATGATTGTTATTTCTTTTTAATTTTAGGTGGTCAGAATTTAGAACAAATTTTCATGAATGTTTGAGGACCAAAAGCTCATCTTTCTTTCCTTTTTCCTGCTTCTCATTTTGTTTGTGGTCCTGAATATGGATATTGTCTTGATCGACATGCTAATCCCTCGTGAATTTTGTTGCGCATCAATTCACGCAATGACTTCGCATTTTAATTGTACTTATTTGAACCATAATGCTAGGAAAATTAGTTTTTTGTATTCTCTTTGGTGAATGATATGCTTGTTCGGTATTGTTGCTTTCATTTTCGTTTTGTTTAACTAAACATGAAACAAAAAAAAAGAACCTGTTGGACCCTAGAACTGACCATGGAACCTCTGACAGGGTAGGTTCTAGGTTTCAGGTTCCGACGGGTAGGTTCCAGGTTCCAAAAAATGAGGAACCTGTACCCGAATATAGATTTCAAGTTCCAAGTGGAACTGCTCACCCCTAATCTAGACCAAAAGACAAAGTTGCTATACAATGTACGGATGGGCCCCACATCTGGCTGCATAAAAAATCGTGAAAACATTTCAAATTTCTTGAGAAACTTCAAATAAGGATCTATAGTGAAACCGTTTTCTCGAACAAGATCCTAGAGGGCACTCACATGCCACTTTCCAAAACATCCTCTTCCTCTTCTTCAAATCCCTAAATCCAAACTCCAAGAGAAAATTTCATGAAAGCCAGTCAGCCGAAATTCATTTGTATTTGAATGAGTTTTGATCTCTAGGACTTGGTTTCAGGTCATTTAGATTCACGAATGTGTGTTTCTTTGTTACGCATTTTATGTTATTTTATCAACTCTAGTGCCTTGCAGGAAGTAATTAGACTATCAATGTGTAGATCTTACAGTGACATATGGCTCTGCTTATTTTGAATTGTTACTTATGTTGCCTACGACGAAGTAAAAATATTTATTTTGCATCTTTAGCAGTGAGCTTTTTTCGTAACTCTGAGCAACGTAGATCTTCAAAAGGTTTTAAATGATATAACATAAAACACAAAGGGCAAGAATTTATTGGATGATAAGAGCCACAAAGGGAGTATATGGCGAAGTATCCTTGCACAAAATGGTATCCGGCATTCCTCAGGAGGATGGGATTTTGAACTTCATTGGATGATAAAAGCCCCAAAGGGCAAGAATTTGGAAGCATGACTCCTAAAGGTATCCTTTTTAGCGACCATGTATTGTATTTGGATGGAGTGCAATCGTAGGCATTTTCACGATAAGTCAATTGAGATGCATTTTCTTTTGGCTAGGATACGTAAAATTGTAAGAGGTAGGGCTTCACTTTTCCTGAATTGTAGACCCTTCTAGGCAAATATTTTGTTGGCAACTATATGAAGGCTTCCTACCTCCATATTCTTGCACAATTAGTTGTGTTTGTAATGCTGGGATGCTCCTAAGCTTCTATACTTCATCTGATTAATGACATTTACATATCTATACCCAAAAAGAACATAAAAAAATGAATGAAACTAACAAAGCCGGATCCCCTCGATGTCTGGAAAACACAATGAATAAAACTAATCACGAATCACCATGTGACCCTTCATTGTCAAGTCCCAAAGTCTCATTTGGCCATACTTGTCATGGGACATTGACAAGAATCTGATGAGCCCTGCAAAATAAATAACATCACATATCTAATCTCGCATTGATAAATCCTCAAACAAGATTATAATTTATAGTACCGGACTCAGAACAGCGGTTGGTGACCTTTTATACTCCAACCTCGACTTGCCTGCAACATAAAGAAACAACTTGCAGAGCCACTTTGAGGCCTGAACTGCCAAAAAACAAGTTTCTGCATCCAACTTCTGGAGTGTCGTATTACCAAATTTAAAGAAACAGCCAATGAGAAGAGAACAATATGAGGGGACAGTTAAGCACTCTATTCAACTACAAATCCACATAAGCCCGACCCTTCTCCGTGCTTTGTCTTAAAACTTAAACTAACACATTCAATAGATCAAACTAATTTTTCATGAAAAAGTTGAGTAATTTTTCTTAGAAATCAAGAGCTTCTCCAACGGCTAACAAGGTCAGATTGCAAGATGGAATAGCCAGCGAACAAACCGCGCTACAAAAAGGGCCCTCGCCCCAAACTCATGAGAAAAGCGCCCGCTTTGTTTCGCAAACAACGATGACAAGGGTGCGTCTTGGAAGAACAAGAAACGGTCACGAGAAGCATGTCACGCGATCTTATTACAAACAGTTCGGAAACGACAACCCATTGACATTGCTGCCACCCAGGACAAACCACCGCGCTAACAAAACCTCCGTCACCACAACCAGAATCATCAAGGACTAAAGTTTCTTTCTTTTAAACATTCCACTTTTGGGAATTACGAGTGAAAAGCTCTTGGATTTGACATGTTATAAAGAAGCTAAACAGGTTTTTTTTTTTTGGTCGAAAGAAGCTAAACAGTTAATAGACGTGTTTTCCTAAGGCTTGAACCAAAATAAAAATAAGACAATGACGGTGCCGCCGTTGCATATAGCCACCATACGGGCGGTCAAACTGATTGAAAGAGGAAACACCTTAGATAGATGGGATGAAATTGCAAAAAGAGCAAGTCACTTCCTAGAAGTCCAAAATGTTCCATAAAAAAAAAAAAGTTCACATAATATAGCACTTGCTACAATTAGAACATAGAACAATCAAAGAGCCGATGTATTTCGAGCCATGTGTACTTATCCATATCCTCAGCAGAATAAGCCCAGTACTGCAAGAAAAATAATCACATTACACGATCGTCAGTGCAGTTTAGTCAATCTTCACAGTAACCTCAAAACAAACGACGAAGTCAATGCTCAGTGAGAAAAAAATATAACAAATGCAATGAATACAACAGTACACCCCTTCTCAATCCCATATAGCGTTTGGTAAACTTTATGATAGTAGGATGAGTAAATATCAAAGCTAAAATTGCCAACAGTTTCTTTCTACTTATTCTTCTTAAGCAGTTTGCAGGTAGCTAGTGCCTTTAAATCAACTCCTGCTGTTAAATCAGGAAACTCTTTTAATTTTAAACTAAACAAACTTTTGGATCTAAAGAACTGTACAAAAGTACGAAGCTCATCTGTGTTTCTGAGACTTTTTCTTCCCCCTCATTCACTCTCCTAATTCTGTCCGGTTCTAGCCCATTAAAGTCTTTGGGGGTTCATTGAGAGAGAACGGACAGGCGTGTCTGGTTAGTTGAGTTAGTTGAGACGTCTCAATGAACCAACAGAACTATTCCAGGAAAACTGCCCACATTCATTCTAACTCTAAGGTTGCGCATGGCAACTTGCCAAATAGTATTTGATTCTGTTCTTTAATTCCCAGAATCAGTTTGGGAACAAAAATCCGTTTGTTTAATTTTTTGATTATGGGCACAAATTCGCAAAAAATTTGTGCCCAGAATCAGTTTTGGAGCAGAATCAAGAATAAAAAAAAAGTAGCTTCTTGATTCTGGGAACAAAAATGAGAATCAGTTTTTTTTTTCTTCTTCTTTTTCTTGGTTTTTAATATAGCTTCTAATGTCCGGCGCGAGGTCCACTCTCGCCGTATTTGGCGAGATTAAAATATTTTAATAAAAAAATATTATTAATAAAAAAAAATTTGCCGGCCATGGCCAACGACAGGCCATGGCGAAATAAATAAAAAATATATTTTATTAAAATATTTTAATAAAAATTATTATTAATAAAAAAAATATTTTACTGGCCATGGCCAGCGACCAGGCCATGGCAAAAAAAAAGAAAAAAATATTTTCAATAATAAAATATTTTTAATAAAAAAAATTATTAATAAAAAAATATTTTACCGGCCATGGCCAAAAAAAATAAAAAAAATTATTTTTAATAAAAGTATTATTAATAAAAAAATATTTTACCGTCCATGGCCAAGGAGGAGAAGAAAAAAAGAAAAGAAAAAAAGAAAGAAATATTAAAATATTTAAAATATTATTAATAAAAAGAAATTTTATGCCGTTACCAAACGCATTTTTGTTCTTTTACTATTTCAGGAATGGAAATTTTGGGCCATTACCAAACGCCTTCAAATACTCAGAATCAGTTCCCGGGCACAGAATTAAAAAGAATCTTTTCTGAGCAGAATTAGTTCTCGGGCACAGAATCGTTGCCATACATACATTTGCCAGATAATTTTGGAGAGACATCAATAATGAGGTGAAAGTGTTTGGAAGAGCCTCTGTGATAATAACATATTTCTAACTCATGTTATGGAGTAATGGAATGAAAGGACGTTGAGAGGAAAGTAGCTCAACTGAGAGGTCTATAGGAATTTTGTCTTTGATATGGGTCTTCTCAACTGGGGATTTGCAGGGAATTCATTTACATGGAGCAACATAAGAGAGGAAAGGTAAAATCATAGAATGGTTATCTTGTACATTTTCAACTATGTCTGTAAGACCATTAATATATTTAAATACAAATGTGTTTGCTCAGTTTGAAATAAGGACCTGATTTAGATATTAAGCTAATAGTTCTACCATTAGTCATGACTGTAATTGCAAAAGGCACTGCATCATATCATTCGTGATCACGTTACTCATATGATTGAATATACACTGCTTGGCAAACATGAATTGTAAAGAAAATATTAAACTTCAATGCATTGTTCATATGAAAGCTTACTTGAAGAATTACTTGGAAGTATTGCTCAGTTATCCATTGACAATACAATTCCTCATAGTTCCTCCTCCTGTTTTCCATCAATTCCAAGGAGCTTACTTAATTCACCACTTTCATATGCTTCGACTGTATCTGCAATGATGACCAACAATAAGCTCAAATTCTTTGTTTGACCTGTTATCATTAAAAAGCACTTTACAAGGTAAATAAGCAATTTACCATCGGAACCTCCAATGTGCTTCCCATTTATAAACACCTGGGGTACAGTACGCCTTCCTATTCTTTGACTTAAGGCATCCTGAATTTTCCATCCATCATCTGTGGACATAAAGTGAGCTCCAATTAACTATTCACAAGACATACTTTGACATATTCAACCACATTTCAGTTACAACGCTGCAGTAGAAAGCTTGATCTACAAGTTTTCTGCCAAGAAAAGCTTTGGAGGATTGAAAGGTTGGACAAACCTACAGTTACTTTATTGGGATAATGACACAAACAGTCCCTGAACTTTGACCCAATGTGCAATTTGGTCCTTGAACTTTTAATTTGTTCAATCTAGTCCCTGAACTTTAGGCTAATGTTCAATGTGGTCCCTGAACTTTTATTTTGTTCAATGTTATCCCTGAACTTTTGGTATATGTTCAATTTAGTCCCTGAACTATATGAAAATGTTCAATGTAGTCCCTGAACTTGAATTAATGGAAAGGACTGCATTGAATATTTTCATATAGTTCAAGGACTGAATTGAACATGTACCAAAAGTTTAAGGATAATATTGAACAAATTAAAAGTTTAGGGACCACATTGCACATTGGGTTAAAGTTCAAGTACTACATTGAACAAATTAAAAGTTCAAGGACCAAATTGCACATTGGGTCAAGGTTCAAGGACTGTTTGTATCATTTTGCCTACTTTATTTCAGTTGTAAAAACATTAGGCTTTATATATAAGTCAACCCCGTTTTGCTTTTCTTGTAAATAGCTTCGCATAATCCTTGTTTTAGGGACAAAAGGCCACTACTTAGTTGTCCTGCCAACACTGAAGAAATCACCAAAGAACTAGCAATTTGCAAACAAACCTCTCTCATCAAGCTCGACAACATGAGGTGTCTGGTTCAATTCCTTGAATACAGCCTTTGCCCTCCTGCAATACCTGCATTTATCCATGAAAGGTGTTACAAATCCGATGTTTTTCTAATATGTCCATAAGACAATCCAGCAAAAGCATCGAACTAAACCCAGTCAATGTGATGGATAACTAAGCAGTCACTTGAATCTATCATATGATAACAATAATACTATGACATCTGAAGGTCCTCCCAAGAGGTCATCACATCCACAACAATTTACTGGTTTTGATGGGAGGCTGCCTATCACAAATGGAAAAGAGACATCCCATGATTTGTCCAACTTTTTTTTTTAAAGTTTAAGAATAAGCAAATATATTCTGGTTTATAGTTCATATCATCTATATGACTGAAAAAGAAGATTGAAAGATTGATTGCATTTGTCATACATAACAAGGGATAGCAGGCACGACAGACAACTTCACTACGAGCGCAGCAATTACAACTACAGGTAGAAGAAAAAGAAACAAGAATAATATACAGTTAAAGATGTTAATCTTATTTCCCTAAACTAGTCTCGCCCAGAGCAATTCACAAGTTCAAAGTTTCAGTATAATTGCCAATAACCACATGAAACTTCACTTTAAACAAGAGAGACCATAAACTACTACTACGGTGTTCCCTTCCCTGGGCCTTGGTCACTTAAAGATTTAAAAAGCACAGGGACAAATTTCATGTTTAATCTATAAGACTACAGCAGGTAAGTAGCTATTCTTTATACCACTCTCCAGTAGAACATGCCAACTTAGAGGTGACAGAAATTAGAACAGGATCAGTTACATCAGCATGGTAACAGAAGATGACACCCTATTCTTGGAAGGTCAAAGCACTGTTTGATCAACCATTTTCACCATCTCAGCATCATTACTTGAATCCAAACAGGAGAAGGCATTTTTCATACATGTCTCGCCCTGCTTAGTGCTTGCCTAGTTTCAACAGGTTCAGAAATATGTGTAGATTTAGCTTGTGAAACTGCATTACGAGCCTTTTGGATATCCTAATCAACCTCAAATTCCTTCTTTCAACAAAAATCTTCACCATGCCCAATCTCATTACATCTCTTACAAGTGATAGGCTTCCATAAGTACTCAGGTTTAACTCAAAGGAAGTGCCATCCTCAAGAAAAAAAGGGGAACTGAATCAACCAACAGGGAATCAAGAGGAACCTCCACACATATTCTAGCGAAATCCGATGTCCGCATCAATCGCGTGGATTTACCCACATACAAAGGAATACCTATTGCACTGCCGATGTAGCCTAGAGCTTCACGCGTCACCCGTAAATCCAAAGTTGAATCTAAACCGGTTCTCAGCTTGAAGATTGAAACTTCCGTGGACGAAGAAACAAGGGTCGGTGATTAACGTGCCAGGGACCACCACCCAAAACCCAAAACCCAAAACCCAATCACAATTCACAAGTACCAGCATCAGGGAAGCTAAAGATGAACATAACCCATTACTCCATCTATGCCCATCAATCAAACCATGCCTTCCCCACAACATACTTGAAGTAGCTTCAAGATCAGGCACGATATGACTTCGCACACGGGGGGTGGGTCTAATCAGTCTATGCTCCTAGAACTGAAATCTCAAGCGAGAGAGAGATAGAGATAGAGAGAGAGAGGGAGGGGGGAGAGAGATTTGTACGTACGGGCAGTAGGACTTGGAGAAGATGACGATCTGGTGAGAGGAGATGGTCTTCTTCACGAAAGATGATTCGGGGCTTGCGGCAGACGATCCCAGGGAAGATCCCAACACCAGCAGCGACAATGCCGCGAACAGTACGCACCTCCTCGCCGCCATGGCCATCCTCCTCCGCCGGAAGCTTTTTCTTTCTCAGGGGTTTGACAAAGTTTGCTGGAGGAGCAATCGCTTGGGCTCGGTGCTTTCTGCTGAATGAAGCTCTGGTTGTGATTTTTTTTTTGTTTTTTCTTTGTCTCCTCCTTTATTTTCCCTTTTCTTACCCCCCATTTTTTTTTCTCGAAAACCTCGTCCATGCTATTTTGGATTAATATCACGAAAAATCTCAAGCAAGTATACATCTGTAATAAATTTACCACAAATTAATTTTTTAACTACAAAAAACCTTAAACCGATCATCTGTGACAAATTTACCCTTCATTAGTCTCCGTTAAATTTTACCGTCAAATGGCTTAGTTGAATGACATGCGGCAATTAATGAGTGTATCAGTTTGGGGTTTTAAACGACAAGTGTACCAATTTATGATTTTTTGTGGCGTTAATTCAATTTAATATAAACTAACGGAGAGTAATTTTGTCATAAATGTACTAGTTTGGGATTTTTGGTGATCAAAAAATTAGTTTATGATAAAATTTGTCACATATGTACCAGTTTGGGGTTTTTAGCTAATAAAAAAAATTAATTTTGGGTAAATTTATCGCAAATGTCCCAGTTTAATATTTTTTGTGATATTGACCCTATTATTTAATCTCGAGAGTTCTTAAACAAAAAACCCGACCAATGGGCATCCAAACATAAAAGATCAAAAAGAGGTTGGGGGGACGAGTGACCCATAAAGAGAGGACGGAATTCAAGCGTCCAGGTCTTAGCTACCCAATCGGCTACTTGATTTGCAAAAAGGCCGCGATATTGGTATGTTACCCACCATGTTCACTCATAACAATTATAAACGATATCTCCACCCTATCTACTCTTGTCGGAAATTCAAAATCGTCTTTCTACTTTTTTTTTCCCTTGAAATAATTCTTATACTAGCTAAAAGAGTCATCATTATTCTTGTGTCCTTCGATGACGGATTTTGCAAACATGGACGTAATTTCGTAACAAGTGCTGTTATTTGTTTTTACCAGCTACCAAGCCGGGTGTTACTCGTATTTTTGTCAATTTGCGGTCGCTGAAAAATTCGATGGCTTCAATGATTGAAGTCCGATCGAAGACGATCGGTGATATCAAATTTGACTTCAAATCAAAAGAGACTGAGTTCCAATATTCCTTGAAAAGCCTCAATGACTTTGTGTAACTCAAATTACTAAATGATACGCGGGCAAATAATTGAAAACCACGAGAAAATTGTACGATAGTTTATTGAATTTTGGGGGCCATGCTTGCTCGATAGTTGAAATTGAATGATGGAGATGACTCCGATGCAAAAAGAAAGTAAAAAAGATTACCATAACGAATGGAAAGCTTCTATAATCAAAGGTGATATTGTAATTAAAAAATATAATATAATTCAAATTTCAAATTCAAACTTTATAGATAATCTATTATAAGTCAATGCATTATGAACGATCTTCCTATTTTCAAAATTTGATGTGCTCTTCATGCTATCTTGATTTCTTGATTGCTTGTGTATGTGGTGATTGATGCTTTGCGATGATTGGTCGTTGAATATCTATCCTCAATTCAATTCCTGACCTATCTTTAATGAACTATTCATGCCTTATTCCTACAAATCAGAGATTCGTGAACCTAAAGACTTGGTTACGCCGAAATTGTCTAATGCCCATAATAGGTACCTTTTTCTCTTTTACGGAAACGCTTTCAATGCAATCTTTTTCAATTTTATTCCAAACATCCATCTAAGTGTCCGTGCATAATTGTTCAAATTATTAATATTAAATCAATCAATAAGTAAATGAAATAAAGTGCGAGGAAAAGAAAGAACTCGAGCTATACCAAGCAAAGATTAACAAGGCCATGTTATTGTGTTACCCGTCAGCTATGCAAATTAAAGACAATCGTGCTTAATTTAATGTAAAAACGTATCTAAATTCAAGGAAAACAAGCTAGACGATGGAAAAACATGCAGACAAACAAGTGGATTAGATCGAGATATATCGAAGGGGCCGAACATGATGGAAACATGCTCGATCCAATATTGACATGCCAAGGAAAACCATTAGACAGCATAATTCATCCTTAGATGAATCTATGCAAATGGGATAAAAAAACATAGTGGACTTTAGATCCAATCAGGATGACAAAACGAACCATAAAATCGAGAAACGAGAACAGAAATTCTCGATTCATGTCGACCCTTTAGAACATCCTATGATCCACATCCGCATGGCTTTTGGATTTTGCAGACAAATCTAGAGAATCAAGCATGTGATCTGATTATAGTCAAAACCAACACATGAACGGAACGGAAAGGGGTAGGAATTTAGTGTACTTGACCTCGATGGGCGCCCAAAACCAAGGTCTCCGAGAGTGCATTTATGAACCTAGAGTCTCCTTAATTTGCGAGTGAACTTGAGGAGTGGCCCTTCATGTCTTAAAAAAGTTTCAGATTTTTACCAAAAGTAAAAGAGAGCCTTGAGCATTTTTAATGCTTTTGGTTTGACGCTATCGTCATCAAATCCCCGAACCCCAAATCCAAGTACAGGATGAAGTGGCTCACCCAGATTGAGTAAACCACCCTCCTCTCCGATGACGGCTAGATGCAGTTGAGGGAGCACACCGAACGTCATCTTCATTAGAGAAAATCAAGCGCCTGCTCCAGAACATAATTCAGCTTCCATTGGGGCAAATCTTGCCGACCAAGACAAGAGGCAATTCATTTTTCTATCCCAATACATATAGACCGTTGCCAACCCCTTTGGGTCTTCACAATTTGTGTGCTACGGATTCATTTCTCAGACAAACCCTGTCAAGGAGCACCCCGCACTTGGGTGTTTATCTCTTTAAATCATTTGCATGGATCAGCCAGCATTCATAATAATTTCAGTGTTGGAAAAAGTTAGGACAAGCGATTACCTTTGAAATGATGAATGGGTAGTTATAGTTCTGCTATCACAAACACTACAGGTAAACCTTGCGAAACCAAATTCGACCTGTTTGTTCCATTTCTAATAACTCTTGATTATCTCCAAATACCAGGGCAAAGCGTTTGCTTACAATGTAGATCATTTCAATTTGAGAATCTCAAGATTAAGCAAATATTTCTTAAGATGACGAATGGCATTTTCTTTATATATCCTAAATACAATAGGTGACCATAGTCGAGCTTATTTGAGCCTGAGCGTGTCCTTTCTTTAGGAAAAGCCAAATATAATCAAGCATTAAAGGGATGACAAGTCACGAATTTTAATTTTGCTATGCGACCTACCAACAAGAAATACATCATGGGATTTGGGGAACCGGAACAAAAGAATTTCCAAGATTGACTTCCAGCCCTTATGCAAGGATACCAAAAACTTGTCATTTAGAACAATATTGAAAACCTATTGCAAAGAAATTTGACGTGAAATCCTTCCTTTTTATAGCTTTTGTGCTGTGTGCTGTTATTACGAATGCTAGTGAATTGGGTTAAATTGAGTTTCTAACTTGTCCAAAACCCTATAACGATGTGATCGGTTTTCGGATGTCAGATCGTGAGGCACTAAATTATTTCGGTAATATTTGATTTTTGAGTTGATATACGTATTTATCGAAAAATTTCAAAAAATGTAAATTAGCAAAGTTTCCAAGCTCCCACATATTTAAGCAGGATGTGACCGAGATACCTTTTTGGAAACTCAATTGGGATTTGGGACGGTTATAGGAGAAACTAGTTTTGAGTTTGAAATAGGATCGGTCCTCCCAAATCTACCTTGTCGCAATCTCTAACTAAGAGAAATTAGTAAAAGATTGCGAGCATTTTATGCCAATGGGAAATGAGTTTTTTAGATTAATTCAGTAACTTAATATTTATACAGATCTATTCTTATGAGACGAGGTCAAGTCCAAGTAGCAATAGCATAGGAAGAATTATTTCGAAAGGCAAGACAAAAAAATAGTAATAACCATTAGTTTCAAAAGATACAAAATGAGATAAATTGATTGCGCTGATTGCAATTCATGTTAGTGAATGATGATGTCCCATAAATATGTTTTGTCAGTGATATAAGATGAGACACATTATAGAAAATGTGCATGATTGGACTTACACAGCACAATTTGTTAATTCTGATAAACTGTAGGCACCTTTATTGCATCAATATGTAGGTGCACAAAGTACCAAAAAATCTTAAGCCTATTGCATTTGTATCAATTCAGTTCTAAACCTTTCAATTGGGCTAATTTAGTCATAAACATTTTGCATTTGTGCTAATTGAGTCGATTCGGCTAGTTTAGACTTAAAATTGCTGATGTGGACATTAGCCATCCTAAATGGCATGGCCATTAGGATAGCCGGTGCCAAGGTGAACACTTTTAATAATATTCTATCTTTCTTTATTATTTTTTTAGAAAATTTATTTTTTATTAATTTATTTTTTCTTTTTCCTTATTTTATTTTTTTGTGGTTTTGTGGCTGGCGAGGGTCACCAAAGCTCACTGACCCCCTCGCTGGCCACTGAACGAGGTGGAGGCGAGCCTCGCCAAGGCCTAGCCAACCATGGGCAAAGTCGGCCATGGTCTCGCCTGCGGCTAGTGAGGTCCAAGCCGCCTTCACCAGTGGCCGGCGAGGCCCTAGCGAGGTGGCCTTGCCCACACTCGCCTGGCTCACCCTGACCATCGCCAGGTGTTCCACAGAGGATGGTCAGCGTCCACGTTAATGACTTCCATCCTAAATTGACCGAATGGACTCAATTGACACAAACGTAAAATGTTTATAACTAAATTGCCTCATTTAAAATATTTAGAACTGAATTGACACCAATATAATAGGTTTAAGACATTTTTAGTACTTTTCCCTACGTAGGTGTATTGGCCATCATCATTAAGTTTTTTTGTTTAATTAAGCGTAAACTAAGACTAAAAAACCTTCCGAAAGCTATATAGTATTTTAACAGATCCAACTCCTTTGGAACTGGAAGAGCAAGTTATCCAATTCCCAAATGATAGTTACGTGATCAATAATAGCAAACCGACACCCTCCAAAATGTGACGACCCTCTTGCTCACACATCCATCTCCCGATGAGCTGGTAATATGTGGAAGTGCCACATGACATGGTGGGACTATTTTCTTAGTCTTATTAGCTTATTAAGAACCCGAGTGATACTTGGCCATGTCAAAATGTGAAGCGAAATTGAACCTAAGTATGTCCTTAAAAGGCTTCATCCAAATTCTCGAAATATAAAGCACAAAGGTGTATTCCCTCATCCTAAAAAAGACAAATATATGAAGGAAACAAGGAGACTCGAGGGGTTTCAGTCGCGGGGACACAAAACAAAACGCGTAGGAGAGAGCCCCAAAAGGGTTTTACTCTCCACCTTTCAAGGCAAGGATCCCTAGGGTTAACGGTAATGGAATGATACATGGCCGTGTCAAAATGTGAAGTGGAATGCTAGTCACTACTACGATAATCTGTCTAAAAGAAGGGGAAAGAACTAGAAGCAACAAAGACCACAAGTTCACATACAATCTGTCTCGAAATCCCAAATGAACCAGCCAATCCAACGACTTACAAAATGAACGAAGACGGTATCCGATTATTCAATGAAAATGTCACGAGAAACTCCTAGAGCGGCACTAGATCCATCGTACTCACATGGTGAATACTCAGTACTTCTTTTGGGTCAGGCTGTTGTTATGACCATTGACGTTGCGCCCGCTGCTGCCCTCGCCGTACGTGACAGTCCGGAGCCTCTCCTGGACCTGATACTCGGAGTAGCCACTCTTGTTCCCGACCCTGACGGTGGACGTCTCCTTGAACTCATCCTTGTACCCGACCCTCCCCGTGGACCTCTCCTTGATCGTGTCCCCGCTGGAGAAAGTCTGCTTGGTCGTCGCGCGCGCGTAGTCCCCGGACTGCTTGTCCTGATGCCCGGCCCTCGAGGTCCACTCATAGCTGCTCGCCGAACGCCCTGCGCTGACTCCCAATTGCTTCGGGGATTCGTTTCTCGGCTCCACCACCGCGAACCCGGTCATGTAATGCACCGGTGCATCGTAGCCTGATTCCTCTGAGTCTGAATCCATCCTATTATTACCAAAGCTTAGAAAATTAAATTGAGGGAATGACATTTCTTTTTATCAAAATCAAATTTATAGCATGACAAAAAATTCTAGCGCCCACGAATTTTACCACGTCACCTATTCATAAGTGAATAACAATCCATATTTGATTAAGCAGATCAAATTTTGTATCAACTCAAAATACACCTATTCTGGTTGCAGAATTTTCGGGTTAAAAGTAATTAATCCGTTAAAAGGTTCGATAGAATGAATCAAGGAAGATATGAATGATCCAACCCAAACAAGTGGTCTCCCTCTACTGGAAAGTCAGAAAATAATTTCCTGAAAACAACAGGCTTAAATGGCAGGAAACAAATTTCCGCTTCTAACAAGAAGAAAAGCACTTTTCCTAAACCATGAAAGCTAACGGTTTCCCTTGAAAATTATTTCCATGGAACGTGTCTTCCTTCATCATGAAGTTCTCTGCAAGGCAAACGCACCCTAAAATTGTATCGCTGGATTAAGACCAACAAGCAAACACATCCACACTAGCTCATCATCATCCTCCAAAACACACATCATTAAGTCATCTGCTCAATCAATCGCCATGAACGTATGCATAAAGAAGTGAAAAAATTGATTACTGCTGCGCTCAAAATCTCAGAAGAGGCTTTGAATTAATGAAACTTACCTGTTTCTGTGACTTGCCTCGCAGGAGAAGAGTATTTGGCTCTAGGGTTTGACAGGAAATGAAGCACCGTGGCTGTGAATGGCCAATATAAAAGGTTAGATATCATGCTTTTAATATGCCAGAAAGTAGATCGATAAAGGAAAGTCATTTCGAATGAAAGAGGAGGAATATTTTCCGGAGATTTAAATTTTTTAATTTTGCTAATATTTCGCAGAAACCTTTATGTAACTCAGACAAAATCTGGGAAAATGAGGAAAGATTCAAAAGGGAGATAGGGTGCGATTGCGATGGTCCATTCTCGACATGCATGCCATTTTACGCATCACAATTATGTTCACAGCTGTGTGTATCTAGAAAAATGAACGACTATATTAAGTATTTAAGAAAACCACTAGAACCAAACACAAGGACTACGCGCACCTCATGCAAGGGAATTTTGAGTAGCCTGAATCATTCTTTTTCGAGACGTCGTGTAGAGTTCTCCGTAATCTAATTCATGCAAGGCTAACTTATAGGTTTTCTTTGTGGGAAAACCTCTTATTCGATGGTTGCACACTATGGACTTGATTATTTGACAACTAAGATGTCCACGCAATCTTTTTTACCAAATTATGAATCCTAAGGTTCTCGTGTGCTAAGGGTCGATGCAATATTTGTTGGAACCAAAAAGAATAATGACAATTATGGAAATTTATAATAAGCGCACAAATTGGACAAAGAAATTGTTATTAAAAATATTTTTTAATAGATTCAATTCGTATATAACATTCATCTCAAATCTTTATATAAAAGCGTAATAATCACGCTACATTTAATGATAAAGAAAAACATCCCACACACTTACTTTCCGAAGGACAAAATGTCAACAAGATAACAAACACAAACATTAAATGAGCCAGAGACCATGAAGTCTTTGCTCCATCTGACAATGTTAGAACTTCACCCTCTATGACAAAAAACGGAACAAGAGCTCCCCTTTTCCTTACGAAAGAATTTAATGGCGGAGGGTCTAGTCAAAGATAGCCCACCATAAATTCCGCTGATATTCATTTGTCTTCGATCTTCTTCTGACACCCACCATAAATCAACACTTCCAAATCTAGAACCCCCAGTCATAAACGTGCCCAAATCCGACAATCAATTTTATATTATTTAAATAATATTTTTTATGTTGATAACGATCCTAGAGTGTAACTTAACCATCCAACTAAGATAAGCGAAATCACAACACAAAAGTAACAGAGGAATCACAACCAACACGTTAAAAATAGTAATGAAAGGCAAAAAAATGTTGGAAGTACAGTAAATAACCCGATACAATGTGGGGGAAAGGGGGATTCCCATGACCTAAATTCAAAATTAAATCTAGGCCTAGCTCTAAACCATAGTCATTGAGAGATAAACTGCTAAACGAAACTCAAAGAGACAACATGCACCAAGCTTTGATCTCTAAAAGACATCTAATCAAAGCAAAGCTACTTTTTTATCATTTTCTTTTTTTCCATTTTTTATTTAAAGGCGTGCAAGACTTAAATCTTAAATCTAACTGAACCAAATGCACTAAACTAATCTGACCAGCAAGCACCAATTGTAGTTTTACACTGTTGACTAAACTCCTCCCAGTCTTCTTCTTCCCCTTCTGTGTTCTTTCAATTCCCCACTTTACTTTTACCAGCCAAAACGTTCTCCTAGTGCAATGCCAGTAGATACAGAGAGAAGAAGAAGAGAAACACCATCCAGCAGTTCAGCTTGCTTGAGAAAGACAAGAAGATTATCGCAGCACAACACTTGGACGACGATAATATCATCCTCGCGACTGAAAAAATGAGACATTCGTGCACCTGAATGGGAGTAGCTAGATGGAAGAAAACCAAAGGGGGGGGAAGCGACGGAAGACTACCCACAATGGCAGTAACAGGAGCAGACGAGAAAAACTAACACAATCAATCTAATCGAGCGCTAATGAGGAGTTGGCCAAGCACTTCACAAGGTCCAAACCAAGGCACATAAAAACGCCGAAGCGAACATGAGCAGGAGCGAGCAACGAAGTTTAGGCCAACATCAGGTGAGGCTCGCGGCTAGAGAAAAAGAGAAGCTTGGTTCCAAAAGTGAACGGGGGAATAACTTTCAAAGAGAAAAACATTCGTAGCTTTAAAGATTGGACGCCGAACATTGTGACCGGGGCAAGTGAACTCCGGCTTTGCGCTCAGTCACACAACGAGCGGGCATCAGAACTAACAAAACGGGGCCCGAGTCCTACCTTGAATTGGTGAATGAAGATGGATGAACTCAAACAGCTTCTTCACTTTCAAGATCCCACCACCCCTTTTTCTACTCTAACCTCTCCTCTCTTTAAGTCTCCAGCCCCTCCATTTGCTTGCCCGCGTGAAATCCACCGCTCCCCCTCTGGTTTTTTACTCTGGCGTTTCTTTAGGACTAAACTTAACTAAATACCTCCCAAATTAATTTTTTAATTATCAAAAATTTCAAACTCGTATATCTTTAATAAATTTACTCTCTATTAATTTTCGTTAAATTTTATTATTAAATTATTAAATTAGATGATACATGTCAATTGATGAGCGTTATCGGTTTGGAGTGTTAGCCTCTCTTTGTTAGAGATACGGTGATTTGTGATTTTTTAATATACTAATTTAATTTAACGAAAATTAATAAAAAATAAATTCGTCACATATATATTAATTGGGAATAAAATTTATCATAAGCATAGCATTTTAAAATTTTTTATGATTAAAAAATTAATTTAAAATAAATTTATTATAAATATATTAGTTTAGAATTTTTGTATTAAATTTTTTTTTAATTGCTGTAGCCAGCACGTCCTTTTTTTGTTTTGTCCTTTCAAAACAGCTCTTGGTTAGTCAACAAAGCTAGCTGCATTTCCCCTCTATGTCTAGCTCACGACTGCTGTCAAATCAGTCCACTTTGCTCTGCCCGTGTCTGCACCTGCAGCAGTTCAGCTTCTTGGGACTGAGCTAGTAGCTGTTCTTGGCTGACATAGCAACAGGTTCTCTCGGGTCTAGTCAACTGTAAATGCTGCCACAATGCAACCATGTGTCATTGCTTCCGCTTTTTACCTTGAAATTACAGCCTGTTGCAGGCCCCGTCTTCAGGCCGTTCCAGCTGGAGCTCACCAAGCATTGGCGCCGGTATTTTTTTTTTTTGGTCAGAAGCATTGGGGCCAGTTTGGGCGCTAAGCATTTTCTCCTAGTTTAGTTCTCTTGCTCAAGTTCATTTCTAGTTCTGTTTAGCTCAATTTCTAGCCTCATTTGGACTAGAGGATGGCCGGTTCTTTGCTGCTCAGGGTGTGCAAAAATGTGGAGGTGGGCACTTAGGGCGCAAATGATAACATTTCTCATATTGATTATCAGCTTGGTCATTACGACGCCAGTTGCACAAGCCATGTCATTCGGTAACTATTTTGAAAGCAAAGCTAGCCGCATCAAGTCGCTTGCTATTATGACACTAGCCGCATTGATCACACTCGTCTAGTTACTATTTTTGTCAACAAAGCCAGCCGTATCGGCTGCTTGCTATTTTACCTTTGATTCATGACCTTCCGCTGCTCATATTGAAGAATTAACATCACCACCAGACTCGCCGCTCTCAGACGAGCCAGATCCTGAAATCTACAATCTAAGCATTTTTTTTGGATTTTTATTTTTATCCAGTTAGCTTGAGTTTGAGAGAAGATGTTAGAGACAAGTAGGATAATTCTCTAAGATATTTTCCTATATTAGAGGTAATTAGAATATTTATGTTGGTTTTTTGTATCTCTCAGATTGCGCTTATATCTACTTTGATTATACATATCTTGATTGATATATATATTACCTTATATAGTCATCTCATAAAGCCTATAAATAGGTTGATGTAGTCTTTATTGTGATATATCGAAATATACACAAATTTCATATTTCTATTTTCCGCATTATTATTCTTATCTTGGAATTATTGGGAGCGCGCGGCAGAAGCTCTATACATTTCCCCTGGGGAGATCACTAAAAGAGAGCCCAAGTTTGAGCCTATTAACCTATCTAGTTGGATCCACCTTCACTCAAAAACTTAAGCTAATAAATGGAGGGAGACCACATGAATATAAATAGTATTTATGACCCATTATCAAGCGATGTCTAATTGTCAAGCGATATGAGACAATACTTCGACACCCCCTCTACATGCAAGCCGGATTATGAGTAGCACATGGAATTTGACTAATGGTGAGCGGACGCACATTCGCAAAAAGAGAGCACTGGCTTTGATATTATGTTAGAAAGTATAGCCCAAAAGTTTATATTGATGAGTTATAGGTCAACTATGATATATTAACTGCTCTACACCATGCCAATTTTATGATGTGCCCTCACGTATGAGCTCAGTGTTAAGTCTGCTCTCCTTAATCCAGGTATCCTTCCGCTTGCATTATTACACGCCCAACTTCATCCACCAAATAGCCAAATCCAATCGACTATCGGCTCTGATACCAAATTGTTGGGAGCGCGCAGCAGATTTCACTAGAGGAGATCACCAAGAGGAAGTCAAAGTTTGAGCCTGTTAACTTATCCAGTTAAACTCACCTTCATTCAAAAGTTCAAACTGATAAGTGAAGAGAGACCACATGAATATAAAGCGCATTGAGGATCTGTTGTTAAGCGATGTGGGACGATACTTCAACACATTCGAATAATGTTTACTCACGCCGGTGTCTTGCATGGCACTCAAAACTTGAATAATCCAAATAGATTAGAATTCGAGGTGATTCTCTCTAACTTTTTTCAATTTTATTTTTGGGGTTTTTTTTTTTCTTTTCTTTTAGTCCCTGATGTGGCACTGACATGGATGCCATATCAACATTTTCGTCCAAGCATTTCAGGAAATTACTAACATTCACAAGAAATCAGGGGTTATGAGTTGACACCGTACCGCGACGAAAGCCGACTTTGTCACCATGGGCCAAGCAATGGCGATGAAACACAAACTTCGTTGCCATACATAGACCAGCTGCGACGACACAACATGCATTTCGTCGCTATTGATTCACCCTATAGCGACGAAATATCAGTTTCGTCGCTTCAGAATAGACTTAAGGCGACAAAATTTTTATTTCGTCGGCGTTGCCTTGATCAACGGCGACGAAACAAAATCAAAAGCTCGTTGCCGTTACACTGAGAAACAGCAACCCATTTCTATTTTCGTCACCTTTGATAAGGCAGGAATTTATCAAGCGCAGCAAAACTAACATTCCATCCCATTGCTCCAACCAAGGGCGATAAAATTTAAGCTTCGTTTGCATTAGAGTATACCGGATCAGTTCTTTGGCAACGAAAGTGGAAAGTTGTCGCCATAGGTTATGTCTATGGCGACGAAAGTGGGTTTTGGTCACGAATATGGTAACGGCCGAAGGCAATGGAAGTAAAATTTCATCCTTGTTTGTTTGAGCAATAGCGATGAACTTTCTTTTCGTTGCCTATGGAATGAGCAAGGGTGACAAGCAATGTTGGTTCGTCGCCTTAGATCCAAGCAAACACCACGAAATTAATTTTTATTGCTTTGATATAAATAAACGAGCCTAAGGCGACGAATTCCTCATTTCGTCGCGTAATATCCATAATTGGGTTTCATAGTTTTCTACTCAATTTTGATATTAATGAAGCTCCACAATTTTCCACGTATTTATGTATATATCGATAAACTATGCAATTTGGAGAATTTTCTATTTCTATCTTTTTTTTTTTGGTAAGGATTTTCTGTTTCTATCTTTATAATATATATTTTGAAAGTTTTAAACTATCAATATAATCACAGAATGAAAAACAATATTAGGGATAAGAATAATAGAATATAAAAAAAAAGTTGACTCAATAAGACACTCTAGGTGCAATGCAAAGTGAAATTACTCATGTGTAGAAACATGTTGATACATGTTAGAAGTGTCAACACAAGTTATCGGGCGTCAATGATGTTAATGAAGCTCGATTGTTTTCCATGTATTTATATTAATGATGAGTTATTTATTCTCGACATGAATGCCAATTTTATGTATGACAATTATGTTTTCAACTGGGTATATCTAGAATAGTGAACAACTTTATCAGAATTGAAACAGTAGAACAGAAGACTTGCACTACGCTCACCATATGCACTTTGCAGAGGGAATTTGAGTAGTTTTGTTTGTTTTTTTTTTTCTTTTTTCGTTGTATTATAAAGTTCTATGTTCCCTAGTACATGCGAGGCTAACCGTCGGATTTTCTTTCTGGGAAAACCTCTTACCTGATGGTTGCACGCTACCGTCTTCTGGGCCGAACCTAACTACATATCATAACTATCAAGTTGGAGACCAAAATGTTTGAAACTACCAATTGGGGAACAAATAAGGACAACCTAAACAATGAAAATTCTTCCTTTTCGACAACTTGAATTAAACCATGTCAACTAGTAAAAATGAAAGCTCCATAACGAGGCACACTAAAAGCAGGTCTTTGATAAACCAACCTCAAAGTAGGAACTAACCCTGGGATTAGATTTCCTCATAGGTCAGCCAGGAGAAAAACCTCTTTTCACATAGATTCGTGAGTTCTAATTCTTCCTTTGAAGGCTTAAGGCAATGAAAAAGAGAATAGGAGCAAGGGTATTTGACTAAGAGACATGCAAAGAATACTTATTATAGAGAAAGAGGTGCTTGCCTGTTCTCAAACAATTTTTTTTCTAGTAGCGTATTATCGACCTAAGCCTGGATTAGATAACTTCTAAAGAGGAGGAGAAAGGGGGCTAGCAAGACAAATTCAATATCTTATCTGATTGCTTAAGGGAAATAGAGACTGACATAAAGGAATTAAGATTGGCATGGAGAAGGAATCCAACTATCGAGATGCACTCCTACGGGGAACGCTACTCTTTCTATTGACAAGGCGAGCTTTTTAGGAATATTATCAATAGAGTCTATTTACTTAGTTGTCTCAAACAAAAGGAAATGACAATTCAAGGAGAGGAACCTTAGATCATTGAACTAACAAGATTTTTTTTTTTTTTGGTCGGACATTGAACTAACAAGATTGATGGGTCAAAAGGTATCGTCCAAAAGTAAAACCACCCTAATGATGATTGGGCCCATTAGCCCCAAAATCAGGCAAACGGAAGGAGCAAATCACAAAATCTGGCAAACGGAAGCACCCAATTCGAGGAACAAGCTCGCGGTACATGTTCAGGATCAGAATTTCAGAAAAACCTTTTGGCTCTATGATTGTATCGCCACGAACTTCAGATCCATCTCTCCAAAAGGCAAGAGTAATCAACAAGAGAGATCAAATAACAAACACCCCGGTTCTCCGAGTTCTCACATAGGCTCGCGTGGCTTGTTGTAAAGTCCCAACAAGCAAGGTCAGAAGTTTAGCAAACCAAAAGTGAAATGGGCGAGTTCACAAACTAAAGCATATGTAAGACAGATCGCACGTCTAGTTACTAACCCCTAGAAGCAGAAACCGAGTCTTCAAACATCACTAGATAAAGCGGCGGATCAGATGAGGTCATTTATGATCCTCATTTCTTCTTGTTGGTCGGCCTGAGATGCTGCTGCCACTGCAGTTGCCGCTGCTTTTCCCAAACTCAACGGTCCGAAACCTCTCTTCCCGGTGATACTCAGAGTAGCCTCCCTTGTTGCCGATCGTGACGGTGGTGCTCTGCTTGTACTCATCCTTGAATCCGACTCTCCCCGTGGATCTCTCCTTTAATGTATTGCCACTGGCGAAAGTATGCTTCGTGGTCGCGCGCGCATAGTCCCCAGTTCGCTTATCCTGATGCCTGGTCCTTGAACTCCATTCATAGCTAGTCACGGGATGTCGCCCTCCATCAACTCCCGATTGCTTCCCAATGCTTCCAGTCATAGTTTGTTGCGGTCCATCCTGCCCCGGATTCACAATCACATTTCCTGGCGCCCCATAGCCCCCAACTTGATGTTCCAGTTCATCATTCAATTCCTCTGACTCCGTTCCTGTCAATATGGAAGCTCGAAATATGAACAGCAACACAGGAAAAACTTCAATTCAAGCAGTCATATAGCAAGCAAAAATTCAGTGCTGCTCCTGATGACCACAGTGAACATAGATTTGCACTTGCCTTCATTTTCATCATAAGAGCCCTCATCATCATCCTGCGCTTCATGGTTATCTTCCCTGCCGGTCCCTTCATGGGATTCACTAACATTGTCGTAATCGCTGAATTCTTGCTGCTCTGAACGATCATCTGAACAATAGCCACCGCTGTCTTCCTCTCCCCAACCACCATCTGAATAATAATCACCGTCATCTGAACTATATCCAGCCATCGATGATATCTACAAGACCAATAGTTGCTCAAGGAGAAAGCAGTCTGTGAATCCACACCTATAGAATGCTACATGTGTAAGTAACATCATACGAGAAAATAATCGAGACCAAGGAGAGAGTCCAAAATTTCCCATTTCACGTTTATATTGGACTTTACCACAAGCTACTTAGACAGATAGTGCGTCAAAACAGAACTGAAAAGGCAAAAGAACAATATGTCCTCAAAGTTCAACACTGAATTCAACCTTGGCTTCTTCCTACAGTCTAAACTGAGTAGAAGTTCTGCATCGTATACAATTCTGGAACTTCAGAGTATTTGAGCCCAAACTCAATACACATCTCCATGAGCTTCTAGACCGTGAATTTGGAAGACAGTCTTGTGTTTAACCACATTTCAATTCATTAAGTCAAAGAATGTATTCACCCTCCAGCTAAAGTAAAAGGCTCCTAAGTTTACGCTCATGCGGCACGGACCATTGAAACATTCTTTAAAAATACGAAATGAAGAAAATATCTAAAGATTATTGCTACACCGGCTCCATCACATTTTTCGTTACACAAAACCGAAGGTAAGAGCAACAATTCCTTGTACAACAGGATCAGACCAACAGAGGCAAATGCACCTACTTAGAAACCAGGGCAAATGAACGGATTAAAGTGGTATCCTGTTTCGAAAGAAATTACAGTGGTTCAGTATAATCGGACAAAGAAATTGCACGTTGCACCTACTTTTCAAAGGCGAAGAAACGCAACTTTTGATTCAATTCGCTCAACATTCACCTCCCAATTTTTCTTCAATGTTGAAGAATACTCCTCTAGGATATTTTCTTATGTTAAAGATAATAAGGATATTTCCTTGGATTCTTCATATCTTTCTGGATCATGCATATAATTCTCTTGATTATGATTGATTATAATTGATATTATCCTCGCCATATTATCTTTATTATAATATACAGAAATTTCACGATCCTCTTTTCCGCACTATTCTCATTTTTTATAACTTCGATTTCTAACTTCAACTTCTAACACAATACCCGCTAAATCATTGCCTCATAGCAAGAAGATTTTACGAACTCCAGCATTAACCAATTCATCCTACAAACGAGCATGCCAGTACTTACCCAAAAAACAGATAAAAACCCAAAAAAAAAAAAAACATCGAGCAACTTCTCTTCACAGTCGATGAACAGAAAACTATGTCTAGTCAGTCTAACGAGCGACATCTTAAATGCCGGATGTTGTATGAAGTCAGAGGAAATCAAACACGATGAACTTGCAAGACAACCCAGAAAGTGAATGCGAGACTAAGTGGTTGCTCATCAACTGGGTGATGTGACTTGCTTCGTTACCTGAGCTTCGCGAAATCGACCGGCGAGAAGGAGGAAGTGTTTGGACTTTAGGTTTCGAGAGGACTCGTGAACTGTGAGTTTGATCGCGACTTATGGAATGATCATGGCTTCAGAAATGCTTGCTTTCTGGGAAACTGGAAAGTAACTTGAACAGTTCATAAAGATTACTAAAGGCAAAATGATACAAGTAGTCTCTAAACTTTAATATAATATGCATTATCATCTTCCACCTTTCAATTTATTCAATATGATCTCTGAACTATCAGTAAATATTCAATTTGGTCTCTAGATCATGTGAAGATTTTCAATATCATTCTTCTATTAATTCAAATTAATAGAATCTGCTGACGTAGCTTCGAATTTGTTAAGTTTGAACTATTGGTAAAAAAGGTAGGATTAATACTACGAAAAATCTTAAACTAGTACATTTATGATAAATTTACTCAAAACTGATACACTTGTGACAATTTTACCCACTACTAGTTTCCTTTAAATTTTACCGTCAAATTTCTGAGTTGGACAACAGGTGACAGTTGACGGGTGTATCAGTTTGGGGTTTTACCCTCCGTTTGTTACATGTTTACCAGTTTTTGGTTTTTCGTGGTATTAATTACGAAGGGTAAATTTATCATAAATATACCAGTTTTGGGTTTTTGATAGTTAAAAAATTAGTTTATGGTAAATTTGTCACAGATTTACCAGTTTGGATTTTTGTAGTAAAAAAATTAATTTGAGCTAAATTTGTCACAAGTGTACCAATTTGAGGTTTTTCGTGATATTAACCGTATAAGATATTCATCTCAAATCAAAAAAAGAAAGGAAATAACTACATTGAACATCTCATTGAACAAATTTAAAGTTTTGGGATGATATTACATATTATGCCAAAATTGAGGGACCATATGTGTTATTTTTCCAACTTAGAATTTAACATTTTTTCTTCTTTCACTTTTTGTTCACGCTCAGCTACGTGATTCCACTGTTCTCTCTTACTATTAACACATGTATTTATTTATTCCAAAAGTGACACTTATCGTACTTTTATATTTTCCATTTAATCTTACCAAACTTATTTTTGTAATTGTTAAGCAAAGAGAAAAATATATAAAATTGAACAAAGAAGAAGGACCAAAAAGGTAAAACAAAAAAAAAATCAATTATCCGTTTTCTATTAGTGTGCTTGATAAAATTATTTAATTTTGCATATACAACAAAAAGCAAACCCATCTTTACACTTCTTTGTGAGAAAATTGAAATGCTTCTCTTATATTCTTTTATATTTTTAATTCTAAATAAGTTTTATTTTCATTTATAAAAAAATAGAAAACATTCATTTAATGATTTATTTTTAGATTAGGATTTGTATAACACGTGAATATAATGTCAAGTTTTTTTTTAATCTCCATGTAATTAAACTTATGGATTTTGTTATTAACTTCTAATGTTGCATAATGGATAAAAATTCATCGCGCTCGCGTTATGTGTGCATAAAAACCAGTATAAATAAAGCCAGGATTTTAATTTCATATAAATACCGAAAAGTCCAATATAGCCTCCATATACAATGTTTGGTCAAATAGGATAAAATTAGGGAAAATTACCAAAAAAGTTGTAAACCTTTTAAACAAATGCCAATTCAATCATAACCCTTTTACTTTGGCCAATTTAGTCATAAACTTTTGACAATTTACCATTTTAGTTTTTCTGTTCAACTTTTGCTGAAAATTTGCTGATGTGGACGTCGAGTGTGCCACGTAGGAAGGCTTTTGCTGACGTAAACAATTTTCGTAATTTGCTTTAACATTTCTTTGACTTTTTTTTATTATTTTTAATAATTTTTTCTTTTATCTTGTATTTTTTTATTTCTTTTTTCTATTCCTTTTGTCTCTTTTCTTTTTTTCTTTATTGTGGCCGGCAAGGGTCACCGGCAATCCTCGCCAAATCTACGTCAAGGCTTGCAAGCTCTCTCCAGCCACAATGAGGAAATATGAAAAAGAAAAAAATGAAAGGAAAAAGAAAAGAAAAGAACATTTTAAAAAAATTTAAAAAGTTATCCATGTTAGTGCTAATCAAAATTGGCCGGAATGACTACATTGGTAAATTGTCAAAAGGTTTAAGATTAGATTAGCCAGATTAAAGGATTTAGAAATGAATTGACATTTATTCAAAATCTTTAGGACTTTTTTTGTAACTATCCTAATAAAACCATAATTAAAAAAAAAACTAGATGATGGAAGTAATGGTTTCTACTCTACTTCAAGTGCGTCGACATTTTAACGGCACCCTCCGATCTGATAAAAAGAATCACAATCATTTTATGAATTAGTGTCCTATTGGAAAACTTCAAAGTGATGCTTGGAAACATTTTAATAGAGAATTTCCTAGGTTTGACACGGATGCACGCAACGCGAGGTTGGAAATGTCGACTGAGGCTTTTTAATGAAAATGTTAGTGAAAGTAAAAACGTGACTGGAAAGAACAAAAGGGATCTTTTTCAATTATCGAATTAAAGAAATATTGAATTAGAGAATAATCAAGAAGCAAATGAGTCCAGATAATCTTGAATTAGATGCACAAAATCAAGCGAATCTTGGATTTGGATCACGTCTCGCAAACCAAGAAAATGATATTGAAGAAGATTATGCAAGCTCAGACATGAAAAATCGTAGAAAGGAAAAGCAATATAAGAGCAACAAGGAAGCAAAAGCTTGATTTCTTTTTAAGGAGGTTTTTACTTTTCCAATTGAGAGGGAATGATTGTTAAAATTATAGAATGATCAATAATATTAAAGAATATTGTCTCCTGCTTAGACTGATCGCTATATCCTCTATTCAAAGGGGAGAAACAAGTTTAGATATTCTAATAACTTAAAAGGATTTTAACTCTTACAAAATCAATGAAAATGGGGATATTAATTATCGAACTAGTTCGTTTGTCTACAAAAAATTATGGGCAATTTGTTATGTATCAAACTCTAAATATGTCATTGGTTCATAAGAGTAAGCCCAAAATTAATTGGAGGTACCGAGAAAAACGTTATGTTGTTAAGACTAGTTTGGACAAATCCAGTGCAAGACATCAAAGGACGACTGAAAATGGATACAAAAATCATTACGATTCGTTTGCTCCCGGAAAGGTTTTATCCACCAAAGTTCGCAGAGAATCAAAAATTCTAAATCATGTCGATTCGTGGTATGTCAAGCTTAGCACGATGTCCCCTATGTGGTCGGCGTCAATTTTTGTTTGACTTATCGCCTTCGAAGTGCATGAAGTCGCTCCTTAATATGGTAATTATGTTGATTCCCGGGCCTCATGCTCCTGGAAGGGATATAGACGTGCATTTCGAGGCATTATACGACGAGTTAAGGGTTCTTTGGGTGGAGAAATGCGCAACTTATGATCAGGTTGAAGAACGCACTTTTGAAATGCATGCTGCGCTTATTGAGACGGTTCACGATTTTCCCTTATACAATTCTCGACACCTAAGTTTCGCTGCCGAGTTTTTTTTTTTGATAACCGAGGTGTCCGCGCGGCCGGCGAGCTAGGGCTCAAACCAGCGGTGATGCCCGACTAGTCCTCGAGGGGGGGCTAGCGCAGCATCTCACCGCCACGAACCCCCACTTAAATCACCGATGGGCGAGTATTTTCCAAAGAAAATCATTTCAGGAATCAAGTTCGCCCGTAACAGCAGAGTTGACCCCTGTGAAAAAACAGTCAGTTTATATGCGACTCTGCTTTCCTTATTCTCGCCGTGTTCCTTCTGCATGTGCATACTATAAGCATGATAGTTCATTAATAGCTATGGTTCATTTCGTGTAGCCCATCCATGCGTCTCGTGAAGATTAGCGATCCAATTAGGTGCAATTCGACCTCTAATCGAAAACGTCTGTATCACGTCATCCTACGTTCATTTTTTCCACTGCGTTTCTTCTACACTTTTAAGCAAGGGACATTGCAGTATTAGAACCTCGGGCCTGATGGCTAAAATTTTGGTCAACGATTGCCCCGAGTCACAATTAGACTCAATCTTCTCTCCGGCAAATTTGACCTGTCTTTCCCCGATAAATTAAAGGCCCAAATGAACCTAGAAAATTGCAAACCATGTGTCATGACGAGCGTCTCTGAGTTTTTTTTTCCAACGATATATGGCCCGTGAGCTAGCTCTAAGCAAAGCTTCCTAGTTTTTCCTTTTTCCAAGCTGATGTCGGTTGATGCTCCTGAATGAAAACCGGTGATGTATGGGCTTTGAAAGTGGGCTTCCCGATATCCGTTTGGCGCGAAATTTTAACACAAGCTACGCTGATATGTTAACTCATCCTCCACAACATTTCAGCTCAATTGGACGAACGAGTGCGTAGTCGCCGAATCCGCGCGACTGCGCAGTATGCCCCTACCAAACCTCAGATGCACATCTTCCATTTTCATTACTCTAATTACCCGATTAACCCACCTTTTTTAACATCATTAAGCCCTTAAGAATCAGCCATATCCAATCCTAAATAAACTAGAAGACTTGAGTTTTTTTTTTTTTTTTGGTCTAGAAACACAAAGTATTATTATTAATAACTTAAGAAACAAAGCCCGTAGCAGGGGCATCTAAACATAGTAAGTCCAAAAAAGTTCCGGGGGGATTGGCTATCCAATTCGAAGGGAGAGAATTCGTGTATTGGGCTTTGACAACCCAATCCACAGCTCTATTTTGCTCCCTATTACAAAACTCAACTTTAATATCCGAAAAGCAAGACAACAGATGAGAAGCTTCGATGATTAGTGCTCGCTCTTCCCACCCTTGCTGATCAGCTGACTTCAAAGAGGAGATTAAACTCAACCAGTCGGAGTTGAGTTCCAGCTTAAAACTTCTTCGAGGAGAGAGAAAGCGCAATGCATGGACAAGAGCTAGAGTTTCCGCCTGATACGCCGATGCAGCCCTCACCGATCTAGCAAATCCATCAATTAGGGACCCGGCGGTATTGCGCACAATGCAGGCTACAACGCCTTCGTTTGAGCTGGGAGAGTAAGCTCCATCAATATTTACTTTTAAAGTGTCCTTCGTCAGTGGTTTCCATGCTTGATCCGTCGTACTGGGAGCTCGGGGGTTGTCGCATTGATTCCTTGTTAAATTTCGCCT